TCCATAAATTTTTCAAGCTCTTTTTCCCAGAAAGTAGGTGAAATATGTGGTAAGCCCTTTCCCAGCTTGTAAATGTTGCATCACTTTGTCCTAGTTCATCCTCTTGGCCATGCAGCATTATAGGACTACAGTGTAGTTTCTTTTTAGCATGTCACTAGTTTGTAGATTTTGATATTATAAAGGGCTCAATGAACAATAATGATAGTATGTAAATTATAGGCTTAAAAATATTGACTTTAAAAATATTCACCATTCACTTGCTTTTATGCCAACGCTTGCACAACTGGCCTACCATTATCAAATGTGGCCTATGAAGCCAGAAGTATCTGAAGAATGAATCAAATCATCTGACTTTTAACTTACTGTCTGCATTTTCTTTCTATTAGGCAATCTATAATTTTTAAAACATAAGGAACACATGTATATTTTTCTGGTGCCCCAATAGGAAAAACAAGATTACTTTAAAGCTATTTAATGCAGGAGTTTCTTGAGCCATGGGGTCTTATTGAAATTACAGTGATAACACATAAAAGGCTGGCTATTTACATAAATACTTATCTTTTCAGATTTAAGGACAAATGGAAGAAACAGAGCAGAAACAAGGAAGTCAAATACTTGGTGTTAAGGGTCTGACAGAGGGACATGTGTGTAAGAACCTAACGGTAGCCCTGATGGATCAGACCAATGGTCTATCCAGTTCAGCATTCTATTTCTTGCAGTAGGAAACAGTTCCTATGAAGTCCACAGAAAGGGCAGAAGGACAATAGTTCCTGCTGGCTTTTTTTCTCCAACAGAAGCTACTGAGAGACATGCTTTCCATGACTTTGTCTTAAAACCTTTTAGAGTTGTTTAAGCTCATTTTTCTGAGCACCAAATTCCATCCATTCAACAGCTACATTATAGACTGTGTGAATAAGTCACTGCCTAGGCAGCACTTCCAGCCATCATCCAAAAAGCAACTGATGTGTCTCATACTTCAAAGAACAACATCCAGCATGAAGAATATTGCTTTAAAAACACACACACACACACTTAACTTGCTGGCCTGTATAACGCTGAAGTGCAAGCAGAGCTCCAACTATGGAAGCTGTCAGACCAATCTGACAAGTAGCCGGATAAATGTGACCAGGCACATAAACAGAATCTCATCAGACTGCCCCAGCAGCTTCAATTCCTGGAGTTCCATGCCTGTAAAAATTGAACAAGATACTGACAAATAGCTTATAAAATAAGCAGCCAATTTAAGAGTTCACAGAAACATACGAAGCAATGTTAATACTTTACAAGACCCTTGACTAATTTTTTAAGGAGAACGCAGGTAAAAATATGTCAAAGGAATGAATAACTGAATAAACAATATATTCAGGAGGTCATTCTACAAAACAGTGAACATGCCTGGCAGGCAGAAAGGACTGCTATTTGTCACTGCTTTGCACCGACATACCTAACTCCTCCACTGTATCCATTTCACTATAACTTTTGAAATGTTACATAAATTGCTTTACCTGGGACTCTAGAGGCACCATCTGTGTTGCCAGCTGTTCACTTGTTATTGAGCAATAAAGAATGTCATCAGCATCCCATGAAGAGGATAATGGGGTCTTCTGACTACTTTCTGCCAGGCGTCCCCTCTCAAACTTGTTTGTCACATTTCAACTTTGTGGTGATAACCATCATTCAGTATTAACCTCTTATCTGTACATGCAACATTTTTAGCTTTTTACACTATGTGACCTCATCAACTGTTATCTTCAAAGAAACAGGCATATTGCAGAAACAGAAAGGGCAAAAGTCCCCTCATAAAGCAAGTGAAAAATTTAAAAACCTGGCTGGCTGGCATCCTCAGTGGTCCTGATGAATTTATGTAACATTAGTGATTTTTTAAAAATAAACTGTGCTATGCGCATATAAGGCACTCCTATACTTCACAGTACTTGGAGGCAGCCCTGATATCCTTGCTTGTCTATCACCAGGTTTAAAAGGAGGTCTTGAAATTTCTATGTATTGGGGACAATTTTCCAGACTGCAAATTTCTGCCTGAATGCTGCTGGTGAAAATGAATCTGTATCAGTACCTCACTGGCCCTGCACTGCTGATTCTGGTTGCCAAGCTACAGAGGATTACTGACAAGAAACCCGCCTGTAATTCTTTAGTTTCTGTGAAGCTTCTAAGAAGGAAAAAATAAGGAGGATGTAGTGATCCAGAATAACCTTTGAAAAGATGGAAGTCTACATGACTGAGAGGAGACCTAGAGCAACACATCTGTATTTGGGAACTGGTATAACAGAAATTGGTGTAACAGAAAATATTAGTTACTGTTTGAAGCATTGCTACATTTTGGTAGAACACCAAACAAAATGCAATCAGCATTAAAAGAATCCAGAATTAGTTTAGCATTCAGGATATGTGGCAAATGTATACATAAAGCACTGCAGCTTCCTACATCCCATCACCCTACAAAACTAAAACGACAACACGTCACAAGAAGGATTAGGCCAACTGTACATCTCTCCCCTTCAGCCCAGATTGTTAATAAAAATGGCTGGGGATTATATATCAAAAGCAGGAGAAGCTCTTCTCAGAAAGGAAGATAAAATGCTTAATTTTTATCACATATGCATACCATTTAAAGAGCTGGTATCATGTAGTGGATAGAGTGTTAGAAAAGAAGAATGGTTCAAATTCCCACTCAACCATAGACACTCTGTAGGGGGATCTTGAAGAAGCTTTTAGGGTTGCCATGTACTAGAAGCAACTTGATAGCACATATACTATTTTTGTTTCAGGACTTAGCCATGAGCAGTAAAACACTCTGCAACTCTGCTGTTGTTTAGAAAAAAACCAGGAATGTGCACAATGCTGCTTTTTTGAATGATGGTTTCTACTGTCAGGTCTCTCAGCTATACTGGGGTGCCATATCAAGGAGCAGGATATTGTTTTACCAATAATATGATGTCAGGTTCATAAGTTTTCACATATATAAACCTCATTCCTCTTACAAAAGTAAAACCTGGCCAAGGGTTATATATACAGTGGGCCCTCGACTTACGAACTTAATCCGTTCTGGAAGGACGTTTGTACCTCGGAAAGTTCGTAAGTCAAAGTATCATTTCTCATTGAAATGCATGGGAACAGAATTAATCCGTTCCAGCATTTAAAAAAAGAGAGAGAGAGAGCAAGTCCCACATTGGGACTGCAAAAAAACAAAACAAAACAAAACAAAACAAAACAAAAAACAACCCCCCCCCACAAAAACCACAGAAACATAAACCCTCCCAGTCCAAATCCACCCTCCAAAACCCACACAGAAAAGTTTTTGTTTTTTTGTTTAAAGGACTTACCAGTCCGAAGCCTGCCGGGCTCCGCTGCCTCCGCGCGGCCAGGCGCCAGGCCAGCTCTAGACTCCCAGCGCTCCGCTGCCTCTGCTGCCTT